AAAGGGATATTGGATTCAAGACTATAGTAGTCTTCTAGTTGATACTTGATCTATAGTAATTATGAAACACCCAGTAGTTGAGATGTATTCTTCCTTTGTTGTTGAAAGAGCTATGGAGTTTTGCTTCTTGCTTGCCCATAAAATGAGACAATTCCCCAAGAAGTGTCACCCTTCACTAGTGCTCTTTCTTTCAACCCTGTCTCCAACGTTGTCTACATCACATAATCCTACTAACTCAAAATTGTTATGTTTCTCATAAAACATACTAAGGTTAGTAGAACTTGCTAAATATCTGAGTATTTGTTTCATAGGCTTTAAATGAGATTATTTAGGGTTAGATTGAAATCTAGCATAAAGACAAACACTGAACATAATGTTTGGTCTGCTTGCGGTCAGGTAGAGTAGGGATCCAATCATGCCTTTGTAAATCGTCTAATTTATAGACGTTCTAGATTCGTCTTTCGTTAACCCCACATATGAATGCATAGGTGTGGAAATTGGCTTGCACTCATTCATCTTGAATTGTTTGAGAAGTTCCTTGATGTACTTCTATTGATGAATGTAGATCTCTTCATCTGTCTGCTTGATCTAAAGACCTAAGAAAAACTTAAGTACTCCCATCATGCTCATTTCAAACTCAGTCTACATTAATTTTGAAAAATCCTTGCAAAGAGATTCATTAGTCGCGCTAAAGATAATGTTATCTATGTATATTTGCACAATAATAAAGTCATTTCCAAACTTTCTTTTGAAAAGAGTTGTGTCAACTTTGCCTCTCTTAAAATCATTTTCAAGTAGAAAATTGCTTAATCTATCATACCAAGCTCTAAGAGCTTGTTTGAGACCATAAAGAGACTTTTTCAGTTTGAAAACATGGTTTTTAAACTCGGGATTTTCAAATTCTAGAGGTTGCTTGACATACACCTCTTCTTCAATGATTCCATTTAAAAAGGCACTCTTTATGGTCATTTGATAAAACTTTATGTTTTTGTGAGCTGCAAAAGCTAACATACTAATAGCCTTAAGTTTGGCAATTGGAGCAAAGGTTTTAGTGAAATCAATACCTTCTTGCTAATTATAGCCTTGAGCTACTAATTTAGTTTTGTTTCTTACCACTTTTCCTTGCTCATCAAGCTTGTTCCTAAAGACCCACTTAGTTCTAATAACATTATGATGTGTTGGCTTGGGGACAAGGGTCCAGACATCATTTCTCTCAAATTGATGAAGCTCTTCTTCTATTGCAATGATCTAGTCATTGTCCTTTAATGCTTCGTCAATACTTTTGGGCTTGATCTAAAAAATGAAAGCATATAAGGCATTGGTTTTTAGAGTTGATCTAGTCCTTACTCCTTCAGCTTTATCTCCTAGGATGAGATCTTGGGCATGATGATTTATGAACTTTTAGTCTTTTTGAGGTCTATTTGCTTCGTTTGACTAGATCATCTGATCTATCTTCTAAGCTTTAGCCTCTAGTCCTTTCATCTATTTGCTAATATGCAAATCTGAAGACTCATCTTCCAGATCTAATAGTTTTCTATCAGTCTTCAAAGAATCATTAAATCTCACATTTATGGATTCTTTTACCACATCAGTTTTAGAGTCGTAAACTCTATATTCTTTTGAGGTTTCAGAATACCCAAGAAAAATACTTTTATCTACCTTGGAATCAAACTTCCCCAATTGATCCTTGGTATTCAGGATATAACATTCACATCCAAATAGGTGAAAGCATGATATGTTGAGTCTTCTTCCTCTCCATAATTCATAAGGAGTCTTATTTAGAAAAGGTCTAATCAACACTCTATTTTGTATATAAGTGGTTGTGTTTACTACTTCTTCCCATAAATGTTTTGGTAAATCATTTTCACAAGAAATGTTCTGGCTATTTCTTGCAAGGTCCTATTCTTTCTTTCAACTATCCCATTTTGTTGAGATGTTCTTGGTGAAGAGAAGTTGTGAGAGACCTTGATTTTTGCAAAAGGTTTTGAAATCATAGTTTTGAAATTTAGTTCCATGATCACTCCTTATGGTAGTTATACAAAAACATTTTTCATTTTGAACACATTGGCAGAATGTCTCAAAGACCTTATAAGACTCGTGTTTATAGCTAAGGAAGTATACCCATGTGAATCTAGAATAATCATCAAGAATGATGAAGCCATACTTTTTACCTCGTAGACTAAGTGTTCTAATTGTACCAAACAGATCCATATGTAACAATTCAAGAGGTCTAGAGGTGAAAACTTCCCTTTTTTCTTTAAAAGAAGATTTCAAATGTTTCCCCCTTTAACATGTTTCTCAATGTAGATGAGTTTTCCAAGAGATTTTAGGCAGTCCTCTTACTAATCCTCTTTTTGATAATTTTGAAATGTGTTTCATATTGACATGCCCAAATTTTTGTGCCAAATAAAATTTCTATCTTCTCTGAAAGCTTGACAAGTTACATTTTGTTTGCTCAAACTAGTTAGATTAATTTCATAAAGGTTATTTTTCCTCTGAGCAATAAAAAGTACAGATTCATCATTTCGTTTAACTATACATGAATCTTTATCAAAAGAGACAGTATATCCACTATTACAAAATTTTCTTATGCTAAGTAGATTATACTTTAATCCTTCTACATAAAGAACATTAGATACAATAGGTATAAAGTCTTTACCTATCTTACTTATGCCTTTGATTTTTCCTTTTCCACTTTTGAAGAAGACAAATCCTTCATGTGGTTGGAGGTCTAGGAACATAGACCTTTCTCCTATTATGTGCCATGGGCATCCACTATCCAGGTACTACTAGTGTGAATCCTTTGGCGGCTTTCTCACCAAGGATATCTGCAACATAAACTATTTGAGTGTAGCAAAAAGTGTCAACACAGAGCAATTGGGGCTAGTGTAGAGCAATCTTTTTCAATCTCTTTTCTGTTATATCCGGGATTGTGCTTTTGGCTTCTCACGAAAATTTTGTCTTTTTTCTCATTAATGCTCTTCAAGAGTTTCGAAGTTCCTTTTTGTTTAGTATGTCGAGGAATAACACATTAAAACAAATGCAATGTTAGTCTTATTCATTTAATGTAAGTTAGATGGACTATATGATTTGTCTGATTTCTTTCATCTTATAGATTATATGTATTGTCTTCACATTTCGTCTGATCTATTATATTATTGAAGAATGTTGACTTTTGCTTAAAGAATATCTTTTTGTTTGTCAACATTAAAACTTAAAGGATCATTTATTGTCTTAAAGATAAATTTTTTTGATTTAACAAATATGAAAGAGAGGGAGGAGGAGAGAAAGAGAGAAACAAAAAAATTGCGAGAGAAAAGAGAATATGAATAGAAAAGAGAGAGAGTGAGAGAACAAAAGAAAGAAAGGGAAGAAATAAAAAAAAATCATTCAAAATTTCAAAATTTTTGATGAGATTATAAAACATATAAACCTTATTAAATTTTTTTATAAAATTAATTATTTAAAATATTCAATTGAAATATTTTTTTAACATTAACAAATATGTTTTAAGTAAAAAAAAGTCTTAATTGAATATCATTAAATTTTTAAAAAAAGAAATTATAATTTTTAATTAAATAATACTAGATTTTTACGTAATTTTTTTAAAAAAAAATCTTGAAACAAAATTTTTTATATTAAAAGAATATATCAATAGAGTATCACAAAATATTTTTATATAAAAAAATCCTAATCAAATACAAGGGTGACAAATACTTCAGATTTTATAAAACAACTCTCGAAGGTGAGAGAAAGAGACTAGGGATGGCAATGGGGTCCCATGGGGGCGGGTAGTAGTAAACCCGTCCCCGTCCCGCTGTATAAAAATTGGTCCCATACCCACCCCATATCCACGCAGGTATCTATTAAGCAGGTATTCATGAATTTCTTGAATACCCACGGATATCCATGGATATTTATAAATTTTTAAGAAATTAAAAAAATTATATTACAAATAATTTTAAATTTATATTTAATGTCATTGAAATATTAAAAATAATAATTCAATGTTAATTTTGAATTTGTATTTAGCGTTAATTCTGTTGAAATAATAATAAAGATGCAAGATAATCAATCACTTAAAATACATTAATCGTACACAAGTATGTGAAAGTCTCATCACAAAGCTACAATAATTCAATTTCATAATTCCAAACGTAAATAAACAACTTAAAATACATAAATCTTATTAGTCCAATCAAAGATATGAAATTAATCAATTTACATCCATCATAATTCTATGAAAAGAAAATAAGATGAGAGTGTAACTTTAGGGTTATGTGGAACAAGGATAATTAGGATATTTAATAAATATTATTAAACAGGTACCCGCGGGTATGGAGATCATCATACCCGCCCCTGCCCGATTTATAAACGGGTAAAAAATTATTCGTCCCCATTATCTACGGGTACCCAATTAGTCTATCCATTTATTATTCATAGCGAATTTTACTCATAAATACTACGGATACGGATATTTTTGTCATTCCTAAACAAGACGAGGAACCTTGTCCGCCCTTCCCACTGCTCAGGGGACGGATCCATATTCATAAAAATGGCACTAAAATTTTTCTCCCATTATTATATAATACGTATATTATATTATATTTAAATATTTTTAATATATTTAATATACTTCACACTTTATTCTACTAAACAATTGTCCTCAATAAAATTATCTTTACTTTTTTATTAATATAATATGTTATAGTTTTTGGGTTAAAAATATATATTTTTGTATATTGATGTTATAATTTAATTTATTAAAATATTCTATTTTTCAATTCCTTATTTTTTAATTCTTTTGATATTGCATGATAGGTACAACATGTATTGATAAAAGATAATTTACTTCCAAAATAATAGGTACTATTTCCATAAAAAGAAAAATTATATATATTTAAAATGAATGTAAAAAATTATAAAAGATAAAAATGAAAATAAATTAATATTAATTTTATTCTTTTAATTTCTACTATTTTATTTTGTTGATCCGTCACTCTGCTGCTGTAGCCCGAAGACGCTGCTTCTCTTCGGCGTTTGGTTCCGTCGCACAATCCATCCTATTGTTCGCGTTGTAGTATCCGCAGTCCGCACTCAGGTTGTTTATTTGCTGTGTTATTTAGCACGACGCTATTTGAATATAAAGTATGTATGTTTGGTTTTTCTGGTTCTATACAATTTAGCTCCTCTGTTCCCATGTAATTTAGTATTTTATATATTGATTGCTCTGTTGCTATGTTTCTCTACGTAATTTAATGCAATTTTGTCCTCTCTTTCTCCCCTGACATCGTTTGTGGTGCTCATGCACGCTGGCAACTCCAATAATTTATGATGTATAATTTTTTTTAAAAAATTGATCTGACCATCTATACAATCTATGGAACATATAATTGAATTCAAATGAATGTGCTACTTTTCAACTCATTTACTTTTTTGCAAATTCATTCTTCTTTGGTAAAGAGCGTGCTGTTATTATTATTATTTTTGAAAAGTTAAGTCTGCATAAGAAGCAATTCAATTTTGTTGTTTGTAATTGAGTTTAATTTGCTAGCTGTCAACTGGTTTCAGGATCACGATAATTTTTGGACTCTAAATTTCAATTAGTTAAGATGCAGAGACTAATAAATAACCATATGAACATGCTTTATAGTGAATCATGAGACTGATAAAATAATTGTTCATCTATAAATGTTGTTGTGTTTTAATATTGATTTTAGTGTTCAAGCCCTGTGTCACCACGCATACTGCAATTTTTCGCAAGCAATGTTTGAGACCTTTATAGCTACTTTTATGTTTTACAACTTTCTGTGACAAAATGTTTGATTTGTGGATCTGAAAGAAATCATAACTTGTTATTTATTTAATACTTTCAAGACAGGCAATGTATGAGACCTTTACATGTAATATGAACTCACTGCTTAGTATTTGTTTACAAATTGATCTCTAATGCAGCTTCTGTCTGAATCAATATTTCTATGTACCATCTTTTGTCTTCTTTTTTTTTTTCCTCCCTGAAGAGCTTGTGTGGTTTTATAGTGATCTTCTCTATTGGTGAACTACCATGTTTGGCCACGTAGGCCTCCGTCTCTGTTTATCCTTTGAATGCGTAGACATAGACTGTTCACTTGTTCAGGTGGTGAACGGTGAGTTTTTGCTTGCAGGGCACCTTTTGTTTTTTTTGAAGAGTTGTATTGTTTGTTGCATACAACTTAGAGAAGCAGGTATGCTTAATCCTTGTGCAAACAGTAAGCTGAAGAGGAAGAGGGCCGATAAACAAAGCCCAAACTTGACAATTGGTAAAGAAGAAGGCACAGAAGAAGAGAAAGATGTTAAGATGGAAAAAATTGCCTCAAATGATGTATATTTATTTACCCCTTTGGCCTGTTCTCCAAAGAAGGTGAGCTCTCCTGCCATATTCATCCTTGACAATGCTTCTTTGAAAAAGGGTCTTGTTACGGAGGTATTTTACAAGCTAATAATCATTGTATTGTGAAGCTTTTACTTTGGTATAGGTTGTCAATCTAGCATTGCGTATGCTCTCAAATTATGTTTGAAATATCAAAATATGCTTAGCTTAACATGTGTGCTTATTATATATTTATTTGTAGCTTTCTTATTTATGCTTTAGAAATGGAGAATTCTAAACTCAAATGAGGATGCACAGTTTCTGCTGAAGCAAAAGAAGAATTTAAATTATAGGATTTTCAAAATCAAGACAGACTAACAATTATATAACAAATGTGTTAATAAAAGGTTAGTATTAAAACTAGACAATATAACTTTTTATCCCACCACTTTAGATTTTATATGTATATGTTTGTTTTAATGACTCGTAGAAACTAGAAATGGTTTCAATAACAAGAAGATACTGTCTAATCAATTTCATGACACGGACATTTGAGTATGATTATGGAAACTAATTATTGTCTTGAAGTTGTTACATTTTTAATTTGGATCGAATGAACTATGCTTGAAAGGGAGAGGTTAAAAAAATATAGTGTCAACTCTTTCTGGAAAAATACAAGAAACTGAATGGTATTTTATTTTGCTTGCCAATAATAGCTAACTATTTTTCTTTCCCACAGGCTATGCTTTTAGAATGGAATCATTCAACAAGGGATGAAGATGACCATGATTCAATGCCACAACTTGCCCGCATTCGGCTACCACCTCATAGTCACAATTCAAAACATGGAGTGTATTTCATTCTTGAGAAAGCCTCACTAGTTGCTGCTTATGTTGGCAAAGTTAGTTCTTTTTTTTTTTTTTCTCCCAACAAATTGTGTCATTCTGCCTCTTAGTTTCATGTTCTTATTGAATTAAATTAAGATTTTGTTTGTAATCATTGCACTCCCTATTTCAGAAATACCAGATTTTGAATCCAGATGAGCATGCCAATTTCTTGCGAAGGAAAAATATGAATCCTTATGATTTTAGGCCTGATATTGTTCATGAGGTTAGCTATTGTTCGTTCATGCCTATCCTTGAGACATTTTATTCTCGAATTGTCCATAGGTAACTTGAGTACAATGAAGCTGGTAGTTGTTGAGATTTTATGACAAGTGAATGTAAGTACAGATTGTTGAACATTAGGGACTTGGAAAATATTTGTAATTTCTATCATCCTAATGAAAGCTTGAAAAAGAAAGATTCACAAAGATTATAAACATGTTCATTTCAGTATTGGATTTATAAAAGTATAATAAGCAAAGCAAAGGTGAAATTGAAAGATGACAGTATAGAAAGTTGTTGGAATTGAGTTTCACCTATCTCACCCTGATGTTTTCTTCCTATGATCATCTTTATATGATTTCTACCATCTAATGTTATTGAGTTCATTAAAATCATTCGAAATCAATTCCTTTTATTTAGAAATTCTATGGAGTCCAACTTAATAAATAATTCCTCTATTTATCAAATTAGAAACCCTGCATTAAGTTTAAAAACTTATTCAACTAACAGATCCAAATCTATTCCTAGTGTTTAGAGTTATTAGGTGATTTGATTCAAAACCAGTTTATAAAATGTTTTACTATCAAAATCCAAATCAAAGATCAAAGATGAGTGATTAAGTCACCTTATCATTAAAAACAAAATCAAAATCAATAGCACTAAATAATAGATCATCATATATATATATATATATATATAAATATATATATATATATATATAAATCAGAAGGAGTACATGAGAGTTTGATGGATTACATTTAATCCCAACAAAAAGGAAAATCAGCCACTCAGTGATGAGAGCCAATTCAAAATAAATGGAGAAAGTGTAGAAGAAAGAAAAAAGTTATCCTAGAATTCCCATTCCTAGTTGATTCTTGGAGTTCTTGGTTCCTCTACTAGTTTTGCTTTGTTCTCTTTGACGATCCTCCTGATTTTCTATCTTGTAAATCCTTGTATATGAACAACAAATAAAACAAAGTATGGATGAAAGAGAGTAAAGCGTCCAGCCCTTTCCAAATGGTTGAGCGAGTTTAGAGAATTTTTCATGGTGAATAAACTCCATCAGTTGAGCCCCTAGGAAATAAATTTTCTGCATCCATCTGGAACCAATCCACTTAGCCCTTCCCAAATGACTGAGCAGTTTGGACTCTGCTCTAAGTCTTATTCTCTGTATCTGCTCAGCCCTTTCCAAACAATTAAAAAGGTTTTGAGTCTCTAACACCTTTGGCTCTGTCTCTGATCCGTTCAGTCACTTCAGAAGGATGAGCGTTTGGGTGTTTTGAGACTCCAAAATATCATTTCACCTGCAAAACAAGAAGCAAGGGTTTATAAGTAAAATCCTTTGAGCTCTCCACAATGTAACTTATTACACATCCTTTTGATTTTTCTAATATTTAAGGGGTTAAGTTACAATTTTCTTTAAAACCAAGTTAGGTAAGTGTCAAATTAATCAAACATTTTGAGTAAAATGGACACTTATTAGTAGTTTGGTAGTGTTTGGTCAATGATTGAATGTGAAACAAATCATATTATGAATTTTGTGGTTTTGTATTCTCTAATCAAATTACAACCTACCTTTGGCTGGTTCTCTGAAGAATTTTATTTAGTTTTCTATTCCATTGTAGTTTTCTCTTGAATAAGTATTATTTTTCATGATTAACTTGACTATGAATGTTTATTGAGTTTAGGCTCTCCTTCAAATTGTGAGTAGTCGACTTTGCTTGTCTGGTAGATTACGCGCTGTATTCATCAGGACAGATGAAGGTATTCTTATCAGAGTTGAACCACATACTCAGATACCAAAAACATTGGGAAGCTTTTGTAATATGATGGGTACTTTTCTTTACTCATAATCATACTACTCCATAGTCCATCCTTGTTTTTTTGTTTTTGTCATCACATGTATTTGATATGTTCAATAATTTTTGTAGTGGAGTTGCTGCAAAAGTTCAGTATCAAATCAAAAGGTGGTCACGGAAAGCTTTTAAGGTTAATTCAGAACCCTGTGACTTATCACTTACCTGTGAACTCTCGTAAAATAGGTCAGTACTATAATTATGCAATGCTAAATTGTCAATGTCTTTTGTGAAGTGTTCTTATATGCTGCTCTTGTGCTATTATAGGTCTTTCTTTTAGTTCATCAAAGACAGTTCAATTAAGGGACTATGTTACTGATGCTAATAATGATGAGAACCTTGTATTTGTGGTGAGCTTTTGCAAGTCTTTATGATGTGATGAGGTTTATTCTGTTGTTTTATTAACTTTATCGTTTCACTATTTTTCAGGTTGGTGTAATGGCTCATGGAAAAATTGATGTTGAGTACATTGATGATCTTATATCAGGTTATTCACAAAATGGTGTTTCTTTCTTCTTTTTTATTTTTATTTTTATTTTTTTTTTCTGATTCAAGTCGTAATTTGTGGTGGTCAAAATGTTCAAAGTGTATTGGAGAGAATGAAGTCCTAATTGTTGGACATATCCTGCTGTTTCTGTTTATTTTTATAACTGAAGTGTTTTGATCTTTGTAATGGTTTTTTCATTAGCATGTATCTAAAACAAGGAAAATGTTCTTAAAAATCACACTTGCAATGTTTGTTTTCTTTGATCCTTTAATAATTTTGTGATTTAACGTGTCATTGAAGGAGAAATGAAATGGAGATCTTAACTAATAAAAACATTGTAGTTAAAAAGTTCTTTTTCGAATTCCGATGATCATTATGAACTTGCATAAATGTTTTGCTTAATTTTTAAAAGCTATCAATTACATGGTTGTTTGTAGGTTACCCTTGACATTATATCATTATTGTTAATTTCATAGTTTGAGTAATATTATTTGATTTCTATTTTGTGTTTATAGTTTCAGGTTATCCATTGAGCGTTGGGACTTGTCTCAGACGGATTTGCGTTGCATTAGAGAGAAATTGGAAGATCCAATGAATTTATTACTATATTATTTTTTATTTATTTTTTTACATTTTCTATAAGTAAGGTTATTTGTCAAGAGGTGCTCCTTCTATATATTAACAACCATTCATTATTCATTTTTAAAAATATTTATGATTCTCTTAATTCAGAATCAAAAATAGTTTGTTTCCTTCCTCTTTTCCTTCAAACTTCCTTTCAAATACAAATCACGCAACATGTTACGTTTAATATTTTAGTTTTTTTTATTTATTAAAAGATGTCAACTTTGTACAGGAATTTTTGAAAAACAAGAAATTATTTTTGGAATATTATTCATTTAATACTATTAGTTTTGTCAATTGATAGAAAATATATTTAATTGTATCAATTCTATATTGTGATTATTAAATGAAATTTACAATTACTAATATATATAAAATTAAGCACATAAATATTTTTATGTGAATGATACTATTAAACTTTGGGTTTTCGTATTTTTTCATGAATATTAAATTGACTCTATCTATTTTAATCTATTAAGAGATAGGCATAAAATTTTGTGAGAATGGATATTTAAAAACATGACCTTGTACATTTAAATAAAAATATATGATGCAATTCAAATGACTTGCTGAAAAAGAGGGGATTGTTTTGAACTCAAATGGCAAGTCCAAACTTGGTTTATTCTTTTATGATTGCATAAAAGATTATCAAGAATAGTTGAAAGTTACTCTTAGATCAAGAAAAAGACACAAAACATTAGTTTAGTGTGAAAGATCTTGATCGAAATGTCAAAAAACAATTATTTGAACTTGAAACATAAGAGCCGACAACTTTAGTGAATAAACTAACTAAAGAAGTCTTAACATTAAAAAGTATATAAATAAATTGAAGATTAATGACCTTATTTGGGGAAACATGCGAGTCATTTTCTTATCAAAATCCTTAATGATAAACCTTACGATTTGAGTGTTCAATATTCGATGTATCTTTAAAGTTGTATGAATTTGTAATTTGATTTAGTCATCTTCGATAACAATCAATTAAAAGAATTTATAATTCTCAATTCAAAATAAAAAATATAAAAAAAATAGTCGTCTTTCCCTCCAGACCTCTATGTCCAAAGACATCATTTCATATTTATTTAATTTTGGGATTTTCTTTATTAAAACTTTGTTAGATTTGTGAAGGAGCTTTTCGAAAACAAGCCATTATTTATGGAAATATTATTCACTTAGTATTATTGATTTTGTTAACCATTGCCTTAAAAAATTTAGAATGAAATATTGATCGAAAATATTTATAGTTATATATAAAAAATATTTCATATTTTCATATACAAACTATTTTACTTTTATAAGTTATAACCACCTTTAATCCACTCACTTATATATATATTTTTTTTCAAACCACACTTACTTCTTAAATAATCAATTATTTTATTTTTTTAATATAGAAATACGAAATAACTCTTTTACACTAATGTTTAATAATATAAATTAGTTATTGTAATTTTTAAATTAACTTTCTACTACTACAACTATATATAAAAATTAAGTGCATAAATATTTTTATGTAAGTGATAATATTGAAATTTGGATTTTTATATTAAATTGGTCTTATATATTTTAATGTTATTAAGAGATAGACATAAATTTAATGTGTATATAGATATTTATAAACATGACTTGGTATTTTTAAATAAAAGCATATCATGCAGATATTCAAATGACTTTTTTTTAAAAAGTTACTATAAGTTGAGGGGATTGTTCAGAAAATGAATGTTGTATTTTGAACTCAAAATTAAGTCCAAACTTAATTTATTCTATCGTGATGGATAAAAGATTACCTAGAATAATTGAAAGTTGTACTTAGATCAAGAAAAGACACAAAACATTAGTTTAGTATAAGAGATTTAGATGAAAATGCATATATATATATATATATATATATATATATATATATATATATTAAACTTC